TTTTTTTTTTTTTTTTTTTTTTTTTTTTTTTTTTTTAAGTAAAATAATTTTCATTTTGTAAGTTAATCGAATCGCCAGTATATATAATTCTTTCTGTCATCCAAGAAATAAAGTAAACGATTTTATTTTGAAAGACCAATGTGTCGAAGTTATTGGAGTTTCCTATATCATTCTAATTTTATTTCTTTCGTTAATCTCTATTACGGATAAAAGATCGATTTCTAGACTAAGTCAATATACTTTTTCTCTTTCTGTTCATTTGATTAGTACAATTTCCATTTCGAATTTAAAATTACTTCATTTATATAGAAATTATTTTACACTCGCTATTTAAGAAATCTATCTCGGAAAAGTTAATCGAAATGTTTTGATTGACATCGTATAAAACTATCGACGATAAATCGTTCAAATTAAATTCCATAGGAGAAGGAAAAAGTAGCAGCTAGAAAGTGAACACACGCTTTCCTTAGCAATTTCAAATCACGTGATTAAGAACTATCTTACGATACGATCGACCCGATGAATCGTAACACGAGATTAATCTAACATCGACTCCTCTAAAATTACTCGAAACTGCAGAAACGATCGGTTTCGAAATTCTAAACGCGGAACTCGCGAGACGAAAGTGGTGAATCGAAGAGAACGGTGAAGCGGCGATTAAGATTGACCTGTGACACGAACCGCGAGTTAATTCTGCACGTCGAAAGCTTTCACGTGATACGATTAGCCCGCTTTCTCGTCACATCGAACCTGTTATTAGCGATTGGTTCGCTCTCGATTTCTTTCATGTTCGATTTTCCTTCTTTCTTCGTTTCGCTTACAAACTCGCGATTCTCGCTGCTCCCTTTCGTTATGCCAAACTTTGGACTGATATTCGAAGACTGATCGCGATTAATCTCATTTCATACAGTTAAGACACGATTTAGTATGCAAATTTTTGTACTTCTATAACATTCCTGTGACACCAATTCATGTATCAGATACACATAAATTGAAAATTAGACGAAAGAAATTTAGAAATTAATTTTTTTTAATATAAAAATAATGATAATAAAAAGTTAAATTAAACGATTTTTAATTTTTCCCGAATAATTTATGTAAAGCAAACGTGTAAAGTTTCATATGATGATACGAGAAGTTTATTCAAAAAAGAAATATATTTTTAAATATTCGATATTACAAACAAATATTACATACAAACTCGCTAGGAATGTCACGTAAGGAAATTTTTGAAAAATCTAAAAATTTGCTAAAAATTCTAAAATTTTGCTGCGAGAAATGTGACTCGCGCTTCATGCAAAGTACACGCATAAAGTCTCACAATAGGGAATAGATTTTTTTTCCGAGGGGAAACAAAAATTGCGAGAATCCTTTTAAACGAAGTTTCGGGACGATACGAGAAGCGCTTAGCGATGATCGCGATTAATCTTGGCTGAGCATCTCTCTCTCTCTCTCTCTCTCTCTCTCTCTCTCTCTCTCTCTTTCCTTTCAGATAAGAAGGATTTACCGTGATTCACCGCAAGAAGTTGACCCGTCAAAAAATCTCGGCAGAAAAGTCCTCGGAGCGTGGAGAAGCCGACGAGACCGGATTGAATTTGAGCAAACCCATCTTCGCGAGAAATGACGGGATAAAAAATTAATTTTCCATTACCAGAGGAGGCCGGTTGGGAACGTTTCGCGAGTCATTGAAATTTCCAACCTCGGCTTCGTTCACGTTTATCGGCTGTTATATTTTGTAATTAATATCAACGTGGTAAAAGAAATTTTGAGAAAGAGAGGAAAGAAATAGAATAGTTTCTCGTGAATATTTATACGGTGAAAATACCCGAGAATTGTCGAGGAAGCTGAACATTGTAATTCGATGTTGCTATTTCCGTGTGCCTTCCGTTTGGATATTTCATAGCGACTTAATTACAGCATTTCCTTTGCGACATTAAACTCTATGCATTCGTGTAAAATGCACAATTGAAACAATTTACATGGCAAACATGGTCATGGTATAGTTAATTACAATGTCTGGTACAATTGAATTAATATTTTAAGATTTTATAAATTATCAGTAACAAGAATTACGAATGTTGAAAAACAAGCAATTAATTATCATTTTTTCATTTATAATATATATATTATGAGAAAAAAAGTTTTAATTCTACTATTATTATTGTTCTATTATTATTATTATGACACAACTCCTTCTTACACTTGATCAATTGTTTTATATTGCATGGTGTTATGAAAGACGCTACACTTTGATAGATGTTTTACATATTTTTTCATTTTCTGTGTACTTTTGTATCTCTAAATTTCCCATAAATGTATAAAAATTCGTTATTCAATCACTATATAATATAATAACAATTATTTAACAATAATCAACCACCATAATTTATCAAATCCTCCTCCCACCTCCAAATTACTCAAACTATCATACATCCTTTAACAGTTACTCAAAAGACATAATATTACAGAGATACAATAATTAAATATTAAAATTCAACATTCAAAAAGATTCAATATTAATATTCAAATTCAATATTAAGAAAAGAATAGCTCACTCTATGTCGAGACACTGTCTGGTCTGATGCGCGACACCACCGCCACAGGTCCTGGAACACGAGCTAGGCGACGACCACGGTCCCCAGGTACCACGTTCAGGATCATCCGTGTCCGACACGAAGCTGCTAGGCAGATAGTTCTCCCCGTGTTGACGACGATGTCTTTCGTGCCTCAATTTCACGTGATGCTGGAACACGCAATCGCGAAGACGCACTTAGTACACGCCATTCCTTCGATGGAAAAAGAAATGAAAAAAGAGAAGAAAACGAAGAAGACCCAAAGGGATTGGGGCAAAGGGTGAAGGGGTTCGAGTATCGCGAGAGTCGCGAAGAACACGTGGGAACCGATATGGCGAAGGTTGCGCGTTAAGTGGCCTTTTATTCACCTGTGGCCCGTGCGCGGCGATTCTCGCGTTGCAACGAGAGCGTGGCTGACCTCCGTAGGGAGCAACGTAGGCGTGATCCCCTTATCGGACCGCCTCGATAAGGTATAGGCTTTTAGCGGTGATGAACGGCCTGGCTAGCGACAGGGGTGAAACGTGAACTACGTTATCGTTGCCTGCGAGTGTACGTTCGACGGGTTTATGGGCTAGATTCACTGGTTAAACACCGGATTCACGTGTGCGCGCGCGCGCGTGTGTGTGTGTGTGTAGATTTTCTTTGTTTCGACTTGAGTTTGAGTCGGAGACGAGGCGGATTGAATCACCGACGGGGTACAGGTAGACTTTAGATTGACGACGCACGCTGGCGACTGCGAGTATCTAAATATTCGTCTATAGTTAGTACAGTTGGAAAATTTAGAATGAAGATGAAAATATTTTTTGACAAATAAATTTATATCATCATTAACATTGTGTACAATTGTAAGTAAAAATTTAATGTGGCAGATTATTCGAACTTCAAACGCGGAATTGAATATTTCAATTAAAAATTTCGACGTATGAAATTTATGTACCAAAATTCAAACTCTTTCTGTTCAGGTAATTTCATTTCATTTCAGATAACTTAATGATGATATGTATAATTGTATCACTAATATTTTATTTAGATTCGGATTTAATGTCTAATAAATTTGTTAATTTTAATATTATCAAAAAGAACCGTACTATTGAAATTATTTGAACTTTGTAATATTTATTTTTGTATAATCGAGTGTTTCTTTTGTCAAAAATATAAATAACTTCATTTATTGTATAATTTTACATTGTTCTACTTGATTCTCTCATAAATATAATAATAGAATTGACATTTACATCTTTCTGTTTCTTTATTCTTTCATTATTATAATTATGTATTATACGTAACATAATATATAACGTAATTTTATCTGTAAAATTCTATACAAGTTCCACTTGGCCCTCCCGCAGACAAATCTATAGTTTTATATTTTTCTACTTCTCTATTTCTACCACTTTCGCTCGCGTAATTTTACACAGTTACTCGACTATTCTACAAAAGAAACCTCCAGTTGCACTTACATTTTTCTATTTCTCTATTTTCTACAACTTTACACGCCCCCCCCAAATGTTCCAATTGTTCAAAATTCTCCTGGAAAATAAAACGACCGAGCGAAACCGAGCAAAAGCCCACTTAACACCATCGCCAAGGAAATTTCTGGTTCCATTTGAGCGTCTTTGTTCCCTTGACTTCTACCACTTTCGTCCGCATAATTCTACGTCGCTCTACTAGATTCTCCGCCACGGCGAAAAGGAACCAACGCAACGACGAGAGACGAATAGACAATAGAGTGTGTTCCCCAATCATCTTCGAGAATTAGATGCTCGGAAGAAATATCGGGGCGAGTGAGAGTATACCCTTGCTCGGAAAATAAAGCTCGAGCTTAATATCCAAGCAAATGGGGGCGACAATCATGCGATCTTGGAAGGACTGCCAGTTCTTCCCTCCTTCGTTTATGGCTTCTTCTTTCACCTTTAAAACGCCATTCACATAACGTTCCTGCCGCTCGACCATTTCCTGGCGCGGCTCCAGGACAGTTTGCATTGGCCGGTTGTAAAGTGCATGCCCTCCTCGTTTGCCAAATAAAATTATCGCCCGACGCTTTTTACCCTTAGACTTCTCCCTCCTCTTCGAAAGGATAGGATTTCGTTTAACGATCCCTTTCTGTTTCCGTGTCTTCCGACTCGAGAGGATCTGGATTCTAGATCCTAGATTATCGAGCATATAGCCGAGTATAGTTACTGAATTCAGTCGCCTAAGATTCAATTTCTTAAAACTTAATTTTAAAGTTCTCACGGAACAATCGAACCCGCTCTACATTTTGAGATAACATTCTTTTTTCTTTCCTTTTTTTTTTTTTGCCAGTTTTTGACGTAGCAATGAGAAAGTGAGAAAATAGAGAATTTGGGGGAAGAGTATCGAAAAGTATCGAAAACGAAATTGTACGAACTTTCGCTGGCAACGACATAATAATAATACACAGTATTAAATTAAGAATTCATCGTTGGAGATACTTTCTTAAATTTCTAAATTGACAATATTAAATTATATTATATATAAAATACCATATATATTAAAATATCATATATTAAATACTCGGCTTCTTAAAATAGAGTCTAACTGAATTATTTGATTAGTTGTCAACTAAATTGGATTTCAAAATTACATGAAATTCTCAGATCGAGATCAAATTGAATTCCTACACTCTAAAATTCTGTGGATGATGTTTCACGTTTGTCCAATGGGAAATTGCGAAAATTTCGCCATTTACCCGCGTCACGAATTTCGAGCTGCTCGTAATCAGACGTGACAAATCAACATTCGACTCGACTTAAATAACTCCGAAGCTTGTCCCATTCTAGTCGGAGCGCGAAGAATCCCTCGATTCGTTTCGTCGATCGGAGCAGAGAGAAATGAAAGGAGAAGTTGCACACTCTCGTCGAGACTCCCATCGGTATACACTTCCTCGAGATTATTGGGTCCCCGAGAGGAAGTTGCCGGAGTTGCTGCCGGTAGCCAGTTGAAACTTGTCCCACGGGTTCAGTTAACCTCGCGGCACAATTTCGAAAGTTTCCTTGATCGAAGTGTATCTCCGGCCGATAAATAGCGGTGATAAATGAACCGGAGCTCGAACGAGCCGTTCATTTTTCATCGGCTTTATTAAATTTCTTGCGCCGATCTCGGGCAACGCGTTTACGAAGCTGGTCCGCGAGCGATCGTTCGACGATGGTTCTCTGGATGGAGACTGTTAGTTCCAGAGGAACCACCTGGCGCGACAGAGGCAACGCGAATCGAAATTTGATGACACATGAGGAGTCAATTTCAATTACAAAAGTAAAAATTTCTTCGTATATTTTCGTATATTCCGAAATCCGATACGTTCTCGATCGAGCTCAAAGTTTAAATATTATAAAACTTGAAAACTTTTTTAAACAGTTCAACTTGTACAGTTTCACATCGATAACCTAATAGCAGACATCGATTAAATATTTCAGAATTATTTTGGACAGTTTTAAAACGAGTTCTACTGGAAACAGTTTCACTAATTGTAAATCACAGCGAGTGAATGAAATTTGAATTTCACGAACGATTCGTAATCAATTTGCCTACTGTGTTCGAACAACTCTATTTACGTATTGAACAATTTTTACGAATGATTCGTGATTAATTTTCTTATAACGTGCGAACAAATATATTTATATATACGTACAATACAGATGGAGTTACTATATATTCTACTGTGTGGAGGTTTACTCCTTTAAAAAAATGTATTACGAGATTTAACAAGAAACTATAAGTATTTATTTTAATTTATGTACAAGATCTTTATGACAACCGTTTGCTTGATTCTTAACAACTGAGATTACAGAGTATATATCTCCCGCTATTTTATTTTTCTCATTCTTCAGTTGTAATCTACTTCATTTGTAATCAACGTCGCCGCTTTTAAACTCTTTTTAACGATAAAAGTTCCTAAATCTTCTAGTTTCGAGCCGTTTCGATAAAAAATTCCATGCTCCCATTCTTTCGTCCGTTAATTTTCACCGAGAATTTTTACCCAATTGATCAACGCGCGCGCAAGTACAAAGAATTATACAGCAGACGCGGCGGTAATTCAAAGCCGAGCTTATAAATCTTCGGATCCTCACCGAGGCTGGATAACACGCAAAGAGATTTATTCAAACATCGGCCCGGTACATTAAGCAACTCCCAGCGAATCTCGTTTCGCGATCTCATCAAAGTTGGAACATAAGCTTGGCATGATTTAACGCGACGAGCCCGTGACTGTCTGCCGTAACTTGTTAATCGGATGAATTCCACGGCCATAATCAATACGAACGCGATAAATGTGTCTTCCTGTTAAACGTCCGTGCAATTACGCATTGTAAACCCGTCCAATACTTTTTCCCGACACGTCTCTCTCACGTGTCGGTCTTCCTCGATTATTCGGTGCACAAAGTAGCAGCAGTTCGAGGTTAAATTGCTTTTCACGAAAACCATTTCCAAACAATTTCCAAGCAATTATCTACAGACACGGCGACGTTCGATTTTAGATCGGACGATTTCTTCCTCCCTTCGTTTCTCCTTAAAGCTGCCAATTCTATTCTCAACATTGTATCGGAAATGTACGATATTTGAAATAGCGGCGATACTTTGAACGATAAAAGAACTCGAAAGTTGGGAATCTTTTTTGAAAAATATTTTAGGGAGAATCCTCTCCGGAGAATTACGAAATTGAAAATTTTTGAGAGTTACAAGATTTGGAAAAGATGCTGGTACTTATAGAAAATGGAACATCCGGAGGAGAATGATCGAGTTTGTGAAATTTCTGGTTTTCTAAAAATTCCACGGTATTTCTTCCACGGTATTTTCCTAGAGATTCCCAAGGCTTTGCCTTAGATCTCTAAATTATTTTCCAAAGCTAAATTGTAGTTTAAACTACATAAATTCTACTTTTATTATAAATCCACTAAATTGTACTTTCTGTCGTATCACGTTTGTCGTCGTTTCAAGTCCCAGCGAAGCTTTCAAGACGATACTTAATCATCCGCCATATTTCGGCAAAACGTTCGGCAACCCCAACCACGACCGAACGTGAAAGCGAAAAATTCCACAACGTGGGAGACGTAGAGATTTAATTCCACAGAAGCGTCTTCGTTCTCATCGCAGTCTCTACCTCGCTGCAGAGCATCAAAGACTCTCTCACGTTCCTCGTGGCGCTTTTCTTTTCTCTTTTCATCTACGATCGTTCCAACGAAAAAAAAAAAAGAAAAGAAAAAAGAAAAAGAAGAGAGATTGTAAGTAAGTTTCGTACAGATGTACGCGGATTTTTATGGAGCGTGGGAGAGCACATGGGCCACAAGGAGGATCCAATTGGAGGAGCGTTGTTCGACTCGAGACTCTTCTTTTCAGCGGAGAGCATCTGCATCACGTTGGTGTGTCGCGTGCAATCGTAACGTGAGAGAATATACGACGATAATAACGGCACGTCTGGCAACGTGGGTGACTATAAAACCCCGATGGACGCGAATCCACGCGCTGCAAAACACTTCTCTCTCTCTCTCTCTCCAAGAGAGGAACCGGCCGCAAGGGGAAACGAACGATTGAAACGCGAGTTTCTTCTTCGACGGCGGCGAACACCCGGTGGCTGGTTGTAATTTATGCGTTGCCGCTGCGGAGAATCGTAATTTTTCGACGTTCCTCCTGCTTGCTGGCCGGCGCACACTTCCGGCCTCGCTCGCCTGAGTTAACTGCCGGTTCAAGTGAAAGGTTAACGAATGGTAAGAATCGATTTGCTATGGAAGAAAGCGAGTTTTCACCGTGGATTCTTTGGGAAGTAGATCGAGCGAGTTGACTTTTAGATGAAATTCTTTCTTAAGCAAGTGTTGATTTACAACGGGAGAGAGTAAAAAGTAAATGAAGAACGAAAAACCGCGATACTAGAGAAACTAGATCGTGATACTGGATACATTTTTATCCGAATTTATATATAGCTTATTTCTCATCGCTCTCAATAATAATAATAAAATCAATTTACGATATTAATATACTCGAAGCGAATCGATTAGCAATGTTCCTCGAAGGTTGAAAGTGATTCATATTTTCCAGAATCAGTTCCAATTAATAGTTACGAATCTAAAACTAGTTATCAATCTTCGCGTGTTCCAATTTCCTTCAATATTTTCCAATCTTTCTACCGAAACATTCGCCTAAATATATCCCCGTCGTAGAACGACTTTATCAAGCGGAAAGAAGAGTTCTCGACTGAAAGATCCGCGCTGACCAATTCACCCCGTGACACAGAGCCCGCCATGAGATTGATCCAGCAGCTGTGCAGATAATTCCAAGATCTCGGGACTGTTATCAATGAGTCACTTCGCTCTCTTTGATACCGCGGTTCCAGAAGCAAAAGGGAGCAGAATTGGGTCTCGCAGAATTGGCTATTCTCACAGAAATGTGGCCGCGACTAGCTCGCGATATAAATCATGTAATTAAACCAGCTCCTTAAGCGGTGACTAACCGTTTGGCGTGTTAGTCCGCGAAGCCAACTGCCACACAACAGCAACGAGGTTTTACGTCATCATCGATGGCGACACGTGCGTGAAACGATCGACTATTTCTGCGCCAGAAACCAGACTGGGCAGACGCGCTGATTTAGATCAAATCAAATTGCAAGCCTGCGTGTGTCCACGTGCCACAGCTCAGTTACAATTCAAATCGACTATCGGGTTTTCCAGTCTTTCAGTCTTTCTTTTCTTTCGCGTTGATCGCGGAATAAGAGTTCTCGAGAGATTAACCCAGTTCCCAAGCGAGTCTAGCCGAGTGTTCGTCATTGGTGACTGTGTTTATTCGTGGAACGCTGTCTGATGACTCGTACATCTTCTTTGGGACGTTTCTCTGGCATAAATATAGCCCTCGCTTATTATGTCATACGCGTTCGTATCGGTAATGATACCAGTCTGCGGTCGTTTGAATATTTTTCGTTGGAATTGAAATGTAAGATCTCTTTTCGGACTTCTTCCGCTGCTTTTCGCTCTCGTTTTAATAGATAAATGGCAAACGTTGAGCGATAATAAATCAATATTATCTTCTACCATTGAACATTTTATTCTCTCTCCAGTTTTCATAAAGTTTTATAGATTTATCACTTATTTTCAATGATTTGTTCTTCCCACGTGCTCTCCGATTATTTATTAAACGAAACCGAGAAGAAAATATCGTGCTGTTCTGGCTTAATTTGTCAATCCGTTTCAGTTCCTCGTCTCGTGTATTATCGTTACTAATTAATAACTTTTAAACGCAATATTCAAACCTCGTAACAATTCGTAAAATTTGTCCTCTTGCAAGATAGTCGTGAGTTTCACTCTAAACTGAATGAAAAATCAAACAACAGTGAGCGAGGTAAATCAAAATGAAATGGCAATTAAATTTCACTCTCGCTCGACAGATATGTATACTAAATACAGACGTAACTTGCTCGACGAACATAATATACACAATTTCGTTAGAAATTGGAACAACGTGGACGAAGAACGAACTATTTCGTTGTCCTGTCCCTCAACAAGCGCATTTAGAAACGCCATTATACAGATTACGTCGAAGAATGCGTTTAACCCTTCGCGCGATCTTTCACGGTGCACGTTTCACTGCGTTAAAACGAACGATCGTTCAACCGTTTCCGACATCAAAGCGCGGGATCTTACGATCGCTAAGGTTTACGACGTTCCACGGACGAACGGCTAATTTATGCTAATACGAGGTGGTTACGCGTCGAGGAAGTGCAACGTCCGCACCTTTGCGGCTTGACGCGTCACCATTGCGGAACGACGTTGTCCAAATAGCTGTGCGACGTATCGAGCAATTGGTAGCTTCTGTTCCTCGAGTACCTTCTGTCTCATCCGACAGAAAGCTCGCATAAACTGACGTAATTTAAGATTGAATCATTTGTCAGAGTGGACAAAGTGGCCAATTTGTAATTTCAATGGGAGTTTTGCAAAATGATACGAATAGAAGCATATAACATGCATTTATCCTTTGAACTTCTTTTATACAGTGTTACAGTTACGAGTATCATTTTATTTACAGTATTAATCATCGGTAATCCAACTTCTCAATTTAATGAAATTGAAATTATGCATCTAAGTTGATATTCATCCAATAACTTCGATTCTAGCGACTTTTCAGAATTCGCTAAAAGTTCTTTCAAATCATGCAGAACTCGAAATCCAAAAGATCGTAGAATCCCGAGATTATTGTAGACAATATATCAAGCAACACCGAGTTTCACGACAATTTTATTATTTCGACAAAATTTAACAAATTTTCCAAACTCTCAAGCTCAAAATTTAACAAATTTTCCAAATTCTTCTTTAAATCGTGCAAAATTCGGTTTTACCAAAATCGACAGTCACCGTGTAACAGATACCAGATAGAGAAATATTAGGTAATATTAATTTTCAATCACGGTGTCGATTAGTTCAGCATGTTTCATCGGCTATAGGGATCGTCGATTGAAAAAGAAATGATCGACATGGATCGAGGACTGCGGGAATCTCGATCACGCGTGGCTGCACTCGACATTCTTTTTTAAAGATTTTTAATCTTTATTAAATTTACACAGATTTTGAAATATACGTCTGAACTTCCCAAATTTCTCAGCAATACTGCTCAACAGCGTACATAATGTCCAAGTGCTAAGCGCGCAGTCACACGTTCGTTTACACCAGGTCACACGATTCTTAGAATTCTTAGAAACCAATAACTTCACTGGCAGAAGAAATTGAACTATGTATTTACATACTTTGTAGGCTGCTATACAGCATTGTAGAGTAGTTCGAGAAACGGTAGCCGGGTTTTCGAAATTTTCGGAAATTTCGACTTTTTCGGGAAACCCGGTTCCTTCGGGAATCTCGAAATCTTCGGGAACCCGACTCGTCCCGACCATCGGATTCCCGATATTTTCGGATTCTCGCACATCCCTAAAATTACAGTATTTATTGTTGCCTAAGATTAATGGAATAAAATAATACAACGGTAAAATTGAAAAATTTCAACTAAATAAAACATTAAAACTGTAAAACTATTGATTACTGTAATAGAAATAGTGTTTTGAAAAGTACTGACAAAGACTACCACCTGTTGTGCATCGCTGACTTTACATTTATCTGATGGTTGAGCAGCGAAAAAGGTCATTATAAGTTGAACCTTCATCGTGTGTACATCGATTAAACATTCGAGGTGAATTTTTAAATAATATTTCTGAATATTCTAATTGTTTAAACATTATCTAATATTTCCAACAATTTATTTGCATGAAGCGACAATCACTGCCTAACTCGATTTCTGACTACATAACTTTTCTCTACATAAATTTCTATTTAATATACATCAATTCAGTTATAATTTAAAAATTAATATCCTGAAAGTGTAAATTTAGTTTTAGACAGTTGTAGATCAAAAAATTAATAAATTATTACATTTGACATTGGAACATATTTATGAAAGTGTAACCTTGCGATAGAAATCTAAAAACTATTGATTAGTATAATAGACAAAGACTTTCGAAAAATTAAAAAAAAATTACCAACAGTTCCGGGTCACTGACAATCGGGACATTAGATTAACCTTCAGCGGTACGGAGACTCATTATCAATTGAACTTCCGTCGTGTGCACATCGACCAAAATTTTTAAATAATACTTCTGAATATTCTACTTATTTAAACATTATCTAATATTTCCAATAATTTATTTGCAACAATTAAACAATAAATTCTTTTCTGTAACATTTCTAAGTGTTATTTAAAATATTTAACTAATAATTTATAAGAATTTTGAATAATGTACTTAAGAGAAATGACGTTGACTTGCTGAATGAAATAATTAATTTAATCGTTTAATCATAATAAAAAAATTGTGAAAATTATAAAATTATAAAATAGAGTCTAGAAATATTGTAAAAATAAAATAATTTAATTGTTTTAAATGAATTAAAATTTCAAATTGTAAAATAATGCACTTCGATGACATTTTTGTATATTATTTAACAAATTTAATTATTTATTTATAACAATTCAATCAGTGATTGAACTGTTCGAAGCATTATTTCATAATTTAAACAATTCATTATAATAATTAAATTATATTATTTGCAATAACGGAAAAGATAGTTACATAATCCATAATTCTTTGCAATTTGAAACAATAAACGAGTGAAAATTTTTATATGTTGTGCGATTACTCTGATGCGACGATCACTGCTTAACTTGATTTTTGACTAGATATCTTTTCTCTACTATATAGGATAAATTCCTATTTAATATACATTAATGCAGTTATAACTTAGAAATTAATATCCTGAAAGTGTAAATTTAGTTTTAGACAGTCATAGATAAAAAAATTAATAAATTATAACATTTGACGTTGTAATATATTTATGAAAGTGTAACCTTGCAATAGAAATCTAAAAACTATTGATTAGTATAATAGAGAAATACTTTCGAAAAATTAAAAAAAAANAAAAGTTGTGAAAATTATTAAATAATGTCTAGAAATATTGTAGAAATAATTTAATTGTTTCATATGAATTATTCAAATTGTAAAATAATGCATTTCGATGATATTTTTGTATATTAACAATTTTAACTATTTACTTATAATAATTAAATCAGTGATTGAACTTCCAAGCATTATTTCATGGTTCGAACAATTCATTTAGGATAATCAAATTATTTTACTTAGAATAACGGAAAAGATAGTTACATAATACATATATTTCTTACTGTCTGAAATAATAAAAGAACGAAAAATTTTTATATGTTGCGTTTATACGTTATTCTGCAGCGATGTTCACTGTTTAACTCGATTTTTGACTACATAACTTTTCTCTAGCAGTTATACCTTAAAAATTAATATTATGAAAGTGTAAATTTAGTTTTAGCCAGTTATAGATTAAAAAATTGATAAATTATTACATTTGACATTGGAACATATTTATGAAAGTGTAACCTTGCGAGAGAAAGCTAAAAACTATTGATGGGTATAATAGATAAATACTTTCGAAAAATTAAGAAAAAGTTATCAACAGTTCCGTGTCATTGACAATCGGAATATTAAATTAACCTTCAGCGGTACGCGGACTCATTACCAATTGAACTTCCGCCGTGTGCACATCGACCAAAATTTAGGGGTGAGTTTTTAAATAATATTTTTGAATATTCTACTTGTTTAAACATTGTCTAATATTTCTAATAATTTATTTGTAACAATTAAACAATAAATTCACTTCTATAACATTTCTAAGTTCTATTTAAAATTTTTAATTAATCATTTGTAGTAATCGAGTCACTAATACATTTCTAAGAAATTTTCATTATTTGTATCGCATCATTAACGACCGAAAGATCAGATTAATGTCAATTGATGCGGAGGCAAGAACTCATCACGAATTGAATTTTTGTCGTGAGCACATCGACCAAATTTAGAAGAAACATTTTGAATATGTCTGCAACCAAACCTTAATCTACAATTCTGACTTCAACGATTGGTAAGTTACATGGTTTGGTTTCTTTGGTGTTGGGTTAATACTTGATCGTGATTATTTGAACTTGAATACGAGTTCAATTTTTCCATGACTTGTATAGTAGTCGTACAAGACATACTTTATCAGTTACCATTCTTTAACAATTACCGTGATATACGTTATATTTCTGCACATACATTGATAATATTAGTCTAACAATAATATTGCTATTCAGAATTTCTCACTGAATCCACAACTTGGAAAATAATTTAGTCCTTTACTATTAACTAGACAAACAAGAATATTTCATCCATATCTTAAATTAATTATTAGATCGATCAAACAATTATGCCTTATTTTACGAATACCATTCCTCTTTCTGACAAATTACTTAAATTCAATACAAGTTGAAACCTGTGTGAGAAATACAAGAAACAGTACTGATATACAATATATTATAATGAGACCCGTGTGCGTAGTCACCTCCACGTGGTGGGTCTTGGTAATTGATATCGTTTTACAAACATTAAAGTTTGTAAAACGTTATCAAACTAAATTGTAGAATGATAAACTTTAATGTTTGTAAAACGATACCAAGCTAAGAACTACGCAACCTACAGTTCAGTTTAGATCGTGAAAATTTCTGTTCATTCTTTAGTTCACGATCTAAACTGAAACGTAGGTACAATTAGTTGATAAGTAAACTATTGGGCCCCCAGCGATGGACGACGATGGACGACGAGGGATCTCGCAGGGACATCGTCGGATGCATGCGTCTTAATTTTAAGTTGCGTGCGTTTAGTTTTAGTTAATTATAAGATAGTTAATACGTGTAAATTCACTGTGAGCGCATTCTGAACAAAGACACGTTTATTAAACTTGAGACACCTCCTCTCTTCTCTTTTTTTCGTTCGTTGTTACTATTGTTACTGTTATTGCACTAAAGTAGAGATAGTTTTGTTACTGTTATTTCACTAGAGTAGAGATAGTTTTGTTACTGTTATTGCACTAGAGTAGAGTTTCCAACTTTAGTCGGCGGTGTGTCAAATTGGGGGACTGCAGCCCCGTCCGAAAGGACGAGGTAGGTTCTTGTAGTCTAGCGTCCTTTGTAATCCGGCTCCAGTGGTTCTTCGGAACCCTACTGTGTCGTTGGGGGTAGCGCAAAACTACTTGCCTCCAAATGCTCGGAACCCGATTTGGCACACCGCGGACAAATCGCGGTTTCATTTCGCGTTATGTCTCATACAAGGCACGATGTTGTAGCGTGTCAATAGTTTCGTTTCTCTAATTTCGTTCAAAGTTTAATAAACGTGTCTTTGATACAAAATGCGCTGATAGGGCTGCGAATTATTGTATAATTATTGTGCAACTTTTATGTTAGACGAGTGTGTGGTTAGTATGAAAGGTTGTGAGTGATTGCGACATATTGTATGACTTGCATTCGTATGTAATGTATGATTGTATGTAATGTATGATTGTATGTAATGTATGTAATGTATGATTGTATGAGTGTATATATTGTATGATTGTTAACGCGACCGTTGTTCGGGAGACAGAGTTCCATAGTTCAATCTCATACATGCGCTTTAGAGTTAAGATTTAGATGTAAGTTTGAGACTGAACTATAGGACGTTTGTCTCCGTAACCCCGGGCCAAGTAAAATAAAATCTCTGCATTCCTTAAGAATGCAGAGTTGTTTGTATGTTTGTTAATGGAGGGTGGTTGGGATTAGGGCCCGGGCGGGTCTCTCGCGTAGTCACCTCCTCGTGGTGAGACCTGGTAATTGATATTGTTTCACAAACATTAAAGCTTTGCAAACTTTAATGTTTGTAAAACGATATCAAGCTGAGAACTACGCAACCTACAGTTCAGTTTAGACCGTGCACATTTCTTTGCTTTGTATTTCATGGTCTAAACTGAACTGTAGGGACAATTAGTTGATAAGTAAACTATTGGGCCCCCAGCGGGCCACCGATGGACGACGAGGGATCACGCATGGACATCGTGCGATGCGTGCGTCTTAGACTTAAATTGCATGTGTTTAGTTTTAAGTTGCGTGCGTCTTAGACTTAAGATGCGTGCGTTTAGTTTTAAGTTTCGTGCGTTTAGTTTTAGTTAATTATAAGATAGTTAATATCTGGGACGACGAGGGATTTCGCACGGACATCGTGGAATGCGTGCGTCTTAGCTTTAAGTTGCGTGCGTTTAGTTTTAGTTGATTATAAGATAGTTAATATTTTTAAATTCACTGTGAGCGTATTTTGTACAAAGACACGTTTATCTAACTTGAGACGAAATTAGAGATATCACCTTTCTTGTATTCTTTCGTTCGAAACTTGCTACTATTGTTACTATTGTCATTATACTAGAGTAGAGTTACTTTTGACACTGTCACTGCAATACAGTACAGTTACTTTTGTTACTGTCAATGCACTAGAGTAGAGTTACTTTTGACACTGTCATTGCAATACAGTAGAGTCACTTTCGTTACTGTCATTGCACTAGAGTTTCTAACTTTCGCTGTCAGTGTGTCAAATCGGGGGACTGCAGCCTCGTCCGAAAGGACGAGGTAGGTTCTTGTAGTCTAGCGTCCTTTGTAATTCGGTTCAGCGGTTCTTCGGAACCCCACTGTGTCGTTGGGGGTAGCGCGAAACTACTTGCCTCTAAATGCTCGGAACCCGATTTGGCACACTGACAAATCGCGGTTTCATTTCGCGTTATGTCTCATACAAGGCACGATGTTGTAGCGTGTCAATAGTTTCGTTTCTCTAATTTCGTTCAAAGTTTAATAAACGTGTCTTTGATACAAATTGCGCTGATAGGGCTACGAATTATTGTACAATTATTATGTAACGTAAGAGTTAGATATGTACGTATGAGAGTATGAAATACTGCGAGTGAATGCGAAATATCGTATGACTTTCATTTGTATGTATTGTATGAACTGTATGAACTGTACGAATTGTATGCATTGTATGTAATGTATGATTGTATTATTTTATGTATTGTATGATTGTGCCGGAGATGAACTTATTGTTAACGCGATCGTTGTGTGGGAGACAGAGTTCCATGGTTCAAGCTCATACTTGCGTTTTAGAGTTAAGATTTGTACTTGAGTTTGAGATTGAACTATGGAACGTCTGTCTCCTTTTTACGTAACTCCGGGCCAAGTAGAATAAAAACTCGGTATTCATTAAGTTGAATGCCGAGTTGCTTGTATATAATGGAGGGTGGTTGGGAATAGGGCCCGGGGTGGGTCTCGTGCGTAGTCACCTCCTCGTGGTGAGACCTGGTAATTGATATTGTTTCACAAACGTTAAAGTTTGTAAAAACGTTATCAAGCTAAAGTGTAAAACGATAAACGTTAATGTTTGCGAAACGATATCAAGCGAAGAACTACGCAACCTACAGTTCAGTTTAGATCGTGAAAATTTCTTTCCATTCTTTATTTCACGATCTAAACTGAACTGTAGGTACAATTTGTTGATAAGTAAACTATTGGGCCCTCAGCGGGTCACCGATGGACGACGAGGAATCTCGCAGGGACATCGTGGGATGCGTGCGTCGTAGGTTTAAGTTGCGTGCGTTTAATTTTACGTTGCGTGAGTTTAGTATTAATTAATTATAAGACAGTTAATATTTCTAAATTCACTGTGAACGCATTTGGTACAAAGACACGTTTATTTAACTTGAAACGAAATTAGAAACATCTCCTCTCCGCTCTTCTTTCATTCGTTGTTACTATTGTCACTGCCATTGCACTAGATAGAGATGAGATAATTTTGTTACTATCGTTACACTAGAGTAGAGCTACTTTTGTTACTGTCATTGCACCAGAGTAGAGTTTTTAACTTTCGTTGTCAGTGTGTCAAATCTGGGGACTACAGCCTCGTTCGAAAGGTGATCTTGCCGTGATCGATCTAGTACTCGATTAGCCGTGGCATTGGCTCCAACGCGTCGCGCGTCTGCCGTGGAGAGATACGAAACGTAACCTGCTAACAGTGAAACATAATCCAATATCCCGGGGCAACGATCCACGGGAGAGGCTTTCTGCGGCCACCGATCGAATAACTCAGCCGAGCCGCTCGCTCCTCCTCCGCGTCCGGATTAACATAATCTCGATGACAGTGAATTAAGCCGCTCGATCGTGTAAGTTTACCTGTCGCGCTCGTCTCCTCTTCGTTCGCGCCTCTTTTGAAACGACTCGGGCGTGTTTCAATCGTTCGATTCCGTGAAATGTCATATCTCACGTATTTAGCACGCGCGCTCGCGAAGGAATTGTTTTTCTCCCTCTGATTGAAAATTCAACTTGATAGGCGAATTTCATAGATCTTTCAACGTGACCAAGGCTGACGGAAACTCGAATTTGATCAAAAAATCGTTTAAAATTTAATGAGAGCATCGGTGAAGTTTCTTCGTATGGATATTTATTATTAAATTCGATTTTTCTTGAAATTGATTGTTAGGAATAACTGTAAATCATGTATAATATGTACACATGTGGCTGGATGCGCGATATCTATTGTCCTAATATTAAACTACTTGCCTCGTATGTAGGTGCGTGTACATGGATCGCGTTCAGAAGAAGGTCTAGAAAACAGTTGAAAGCCGGTGTAACTTACAGATGAAAGAGGAAAGCTATAGAAACCTCCTTAAAAAACCGAATATCTTTGTCTTATAAAATAAAACCTAATAACAAATTAACAACATTGATCCTTTTCTTCTTGTATATTTGAATGTGAAAAATATGATATTTCTCGCGAGGTTATTAACAGTTTTCTAGACCTTCTACGTTTCAATCTTCCAGTAGACAGAGAAGAATTAGTGTTCATAACTATATAAATTTAATTAACTCGAGAGTGATTAGTCTCTCACCGAAAGTAAACAGCTTGCTATTACAGTATTGATGACACTGCAAGCAATCGAAATTTCCCGATGGGCGAAAAATTCCACCGATCGCCTGTAATTTCCCATAAGATCACATTACGACGCACGTAAAACGCTTCATTTTCGCGAAGCGTGGTTCAATAGTCGCGACACTAGCGGTTAGATATGCAGGAATGCTTTTTAGTAGCAACGTCCCAGCAATGGGACGATAACTTCTCCCGGCAAGAAAGGGATCATTAATCATGCGCACCATGAATTTGTGTTACGGTAGGTGGAACGGAGTTGGCAACAAAAAAGGAGGATTTAAATGCATCGACTTGCTGCATCTCGAGCACTCGCGCTCTCGCGAAACTCTCTGGGATAGTTGGAATCGTTGGAAAGATTCACACGAGTGGCATTAACCACTCCTTTGGCTTCAAACTTTTAGATAATCATCTCTTAATTACATCAAAATTTCAACGTTAACGTCGTGTTCAATCAATTTAAATTAATATTTTATTTAATCCATTTGCGATTAGCAAATCACTTTGGTAATTAAAAATCAATTTCTTTAAATTTTCAGTGAACGTGTCGCAATATTGGGGTATGTTTTTAGTTCGAATATTTATAGAAACATTTTATTCTCTTTGTGTTACCAATGTAATAATCACGAAGAATGAAAGAAACTCTTCAGTTAAATTTCACCACTCCAATTAACAAAATAACAAAATTTCAACGTTATCGCCGTGTTCAATCAATTTAAATTAATCACTTTACAGCGAACGTATCGCAAGATACTTTGCATTTTCAATATTGGGATACTTTTTTAGTTAGCTCACATTTATAGAAAAATTGTATCCTCTTCGTGTCAATCAACGTGATAATCAAGACAAATGAAAGGAACTGTTCAGTTAAATTTTCACCCTTCCAATCGCACCCGCAAGAAAAGTACAAAACTGCATAAAACGCACGCGCTCCAAATCTCTCCTGATCCCTCGGCTTTGCCGAAAATATTTGTCCAAATCACAGGCACGATTACACAGGCCGGTGCAAATGGTTCTTTTAAAACGAACTCGTTTATCCCGGCTCGTCTCTAAATTGCGCCCTCGACGTCGCGCGTTTAAGCCTGCCTATTATCCCGACGAAGAACGCGTCGTACATCATCATCATCATCATCATCATCATCATCACCAAAAAAAAAACCCTGTTAACTCGTCCCAATCTGCTTGGCCAGCGATCGCTCGATCCGCGATTCGCGCGCGAGTGAAAGAGAGGAGAAAGAAAGAAAAAAAGGAAACGAAAAGAGACAAGGAGAAGGAGCTCGTTCGTTAACGCGTCGCGCGAGAAATTTGAAACGACACGGCTCGTCAACGGAAACGAAGCGTCGCGATAAATTCACCGCCGCGACAGTGTCATTCCTGTTTGGTCTGGTGTTATCGGGGCCCGGATCACGAACAGACGAAATCGTCGTGGCAATTTGCACGATTCGAGCACGGTTCGTTTCTGCGAGCAGTCAGACAAGCGGAATGTATACACGCGTGTACGGTCAATTATTAAGGGAAAGGCGTGGTGGTGGTGGTTGTGTGTGTGGTTGCGTTTCGTTTACGGTTCATCGACTGACCCGAGCGACATCAACTTCCCCGAACCATTTAATTAACTCTTCGCCGAGCGCAATCTCGTACGATCGTCGAATTTCGAGGGCCAGTGGTCGACCAGTTCTCCCGGCAGCAGACCCTAACGCTTGTTTCATGACGGATCTCCGAACGAACGAATGAGATTTGTTTTGCAGAACACGTGCGAAAACGTTGGCACTTGCACTAGCTTGGTCTCTTATCATATTTATATTTCATAGCTCGGTGTTTGCGAGATTCGCGAATAACTGGTAGGCAGGTTAATTTTTGTGCGACTGCTGGCGGTTCCAGCGAATTACGCGGGTAATTACGTGGAAAATCGTTCGTTAGGGAAATGTAGCTTGCTTTCTTTCTCGCTGCGGTTCGAATGAATTCTTTTGCAATCACTCGAGCACGATTTTCGTTGAAAGTTGAATTTGATCGATTCCATTTCACACTTGATATTCAAGTTCTCGAAATTCTTGTACACTCGAGACAACGAAATCTCTGATTTAGCGATACGAATTAGTTTATTGAAAGAAACGAAAATCACAGATTACGCAACATTTGACTTTTGATCGCGCAGAAACTCGGAATACTTTCGAAACTTATTTTCCGTGATTGCCGTTTTGTGGGATTCCGATCAGAACGGGGGCAAATCACGGACAGAGTTATTGCGTATTTCTTAACTATTCGCGGAGCCTGCGAGCCGAATACGACTTGGCGCGTTTCCTCTCTCCGCTCGAAATTGCGCTTGCTGCTTATTTCACCGTAGTGAACAATTAAAAGTTGCTTCCAGCCTGTTTTCCGGCTTAAATCGGCGCCGCGCCGCGGCGTGCCAGCCGGGACATAAAGCTCGAGGCGAGCGAATTAACGTTTACAAAACGCGGGGAAAGAAGTTGCCGGATGCAGGGGAACAAAAGGTGTAATTGCAAGAAGTAGCTGGCCGGCAACTTTTCGAACTGCTGCCTCGTTTCCACTCCCCCCACCTGTCTGTCTGGCCACGTTTTAAGGACAACGCGGCTTAAGAACAGCGAACGGCAAAGCGTCGCCGGAATAACGAAATGGTTTTAAACCGCTTTCGAAAGCATCGCGAAAATTAGCCGCGCTCGGCTTAACGTCGTCGGAGTTTTGTCAGAAAATTAATCCCCGTGTTAATCTGAAAATTGCTGCGTTCAGCTCACGCGGAAAGGAAAAGGGAAAAAGGGGACGCCATTTTTTTTTTCTTTTTTTTCTTTTTTTTCGAAAAAATGTATCGCGTTAAATGGTCCGTAAGAACCACTCGACGTTTAACGTTCGTTTTACGAGCTGGATACTACGAAGGCCAGCACGGAGAGACAGATACTCCTGTAAAGGGAGTTTAATTACTTCATTCCTAATCCATCGTGACTGATAGATACGGATTTGCGCTCCTCGTAAATTCTGCTGGTACTTTTTCCTCGTCTGAGAACAGACGTTGCGTGGCCGTCCTTTATCTTCTCCTCGTGTCGTATTATTACGTTCTATCGTTCCTGTTTCGTGAGTATTTTTATGAAAAATGAAAGAAACCGTATTATAACGAATAAAGATGCTATTGATTGACGTGCTTGGTTTAAAAATAGAGAAAGACGTTGTTTTTGAAGAAATATATTTCTTAACGCGTTGCTCTATTATTCTGAGAAACGTTGCGAAAGGAGAATTCAGTAACATTACATTGAAGTTTCTAGTATAAGAATTCGTTGAATTATTTGATACACATTGCAGACCAAAATTTTAAGACAACTCTGTTTGTAAAATATATACACCATTTAACATGACATTTTATACATCAATAGCAATTTCTTTCCCTAGAATATTCCAATACATTATGTATTCTAATACATAAGAAAAGCGTCAGAACGTACATTTCTAATCATTCCATGATTCTTTGATCGTGTAACAATTTCTTCCCACAAATCATTGATAATAAAGATGCCTCTGCTGTAGCTTCCAAGTTCCGTTTCGTAAATTATTGATAGGCGAGTGGTGAAAAGGTTAATAACTTGAGACCGTTCCATTCATTAGCAAGTATATGAATCACGTTTGTACTCCACATATCCTTGCGCACCGATATTCTCGGAGCTTCTTAAAAGCCAATGGAAGAACGTGGGTCAGTAGTCGCGAGAGATTTCCTCATCCATTCATCGCAAACGTACGTGATAAGCCCGACTCGTACCGCTATTCACTAGTGTTTTCTTCCTCTTATCACGCACACCGTGCTTTCACAAGCACCGCGTCTCAAACCTTCCTGCTCTTTTCTCTCCGTTTCTGATCCTTTGAACTTTCTCATCCCTCCTGCGTACACCGATAAATAGAGAGAAGCAACGCACGGTAATTACGAAAAATTACTGAGAGAAAAAAGACGCACGTAACCACGAGACAACTTCCGAGGACCGAGGTTTACGTTGCTCGAGTACGGTACTCGGTTCCCAATAGACGACTCTTAAGGTCATTTGCATTCGTCTGGCGCGCGAGGAACGACGAGACTGGCCAACAAAGTTGCCACTGGATTGATGCCGAGTGTTTCCGACATTTTTCTTTTTTTCTCTCTCTCTCTTCTTTTCGACTTTTTAACACTTAGCGCGCCGAGTGGCGTTCTCTGGAGGAACCATGATACTTGTCTTCAATCTCAAAATATTTTTCACGCAGTACAGTAACTGTTATAAAACTCTACGTTTAAAGGCTAGCTGGTATTTAACTCTCGAACGACGATAATAAAATGTAAATAGTAATAACTGCAGACATTTGTGTAAATTTATATTTTCGACGACATAATTAAAAAAAAAAAAAAAAAATGAAATTTCAGTGAAATAATTCGCGTGTCAAATATTATGGAAAGTTTGGAAAGATTTTTATTCAAATTCGTACAATCTAGAAAGTGGAAAATTGTTATACGTGTCAAATATTACAAGAACAACTGGAATTTTATTTTTGAAGAATGTAATTAAAGTAATGAAATTAATGGGAGAATGAAAGAAATGAAATTTTAGTGGAAAATTAATTCACGTATCAAGTAGAATAGTGGAAGAAGCTTGGAAAACTTTTTATTCAAATTTGTACTTTTAATGGTATAACACAGAAAGCGGAAAATTTACGTGGCAAATATGAGAAGAAGGATCAGAATTTTATTCTCGCGAGTGTAATTAAGGAAATGGAATTTCAGTAAAAAATTGATTTACGTCGGTAGAGAATGAATTTTTATTGGAATTCATATCATTAAGGGAGGATGCTATAAAATGTAGAATTTCTCGGACTTGTACCGAGTCGTTAAATTATTTACGACTGCCTCTGCGAGTATAAATTAGTCTGAAGAATTCCTTACCGCGCAGAATTTATAATTGTAAAAAGCCGCGGTAGAAATCTAATTGTCGCGACAGCTTATTAAATGAAGCAAGATAAGCAACGCAGAAAGAAAAGAAGAAAAAAAAACACACGATGTAAATTACTGCAAATGGAATAAACGCGCGAGGTAAGAAACAAAAGACTGAAATAAATAGCGTTGCTTGAAATGACGAGCACTGCTCAATGAGCACGCTCGGACTGCTATTTCCCTGCCTTTCTTGCGTGTTTTCATTGTATACGGAGAGAATGTCGTAAATACGCGAGTTAAAAAAATTTCTAAACGTTTCTCTTCTAACACCATTACTTAACAGCATGTAGTAATTTCACTTCTTCGGTCGTGTTTCGTAAAGACATGAATTTGCGTGAAAAAAAAATCGACGGTTTTAAACACGCATGATTTTTCGCGGAAAGAGTCGTTCGAAACTTGAATTTATAAATTTCCCGATGTCGGTTGAAATATCGGCAGGCGCGACGAGCACGTGACAACCGCGAGATCGATACGATACGAGATTTCTAAATTGGAAAATGGACGTAACCGGCATTTTACACGTTCCTGGATATCCTGTCGCACGTGTTTCTGGATTAAGGGCGATTCTTCTCGAATGGACGCAACGGAAATAGAACGTGGATGATATATAAAACAAGTTCTCTCTGTAGTCTTAACAGCTTCAAGTTCTTAACAAAGTAATCGACAGCCTGAATGATTCGTTGAAATGTTACACGTAATTAATTAACCCGTTGAGGATCAAGTAACAATTCAACTCAATCAACTTGAAATCGAAAAAGACACGAAAGGAACGTTTGGAGTTTTCGTAGTTCTAACACGACGTAATATCGATATAAATCGATTGGAAAGAATTTCAAATAAAACGCTGCATCGTCAATGAGTTGAGTCAAACAGCGCAGAGATATATTTCGTTCGATGTTCAATCTATCTATCGCAGAATTTCCAATCAACAAGAATCTCATCTTTCGGAATATCGGAAAGAAATCAAGGTGCACGTTATCTTTAAGTAGAATCGGAAAGAAAGAGATAGACGTCGGAAATAAATTAGAGTCAACTTCCAAGTAACGCGAAATCTCCATTGAATTTTCTTATTTCTCACTGCTCGCCGATTGCAAAACCACTTTCTCGACGATTAATCAACCTCTCAATTTCTTCGAACAAAGCTCCGAACGAACACCCGCAGGTTTGATCGTAAGGCAAGAATACGGAAAAGGGGGGAGACATTCAAGGAGCAAAGCGTCGCGCAAAAGGGCCCAGAGGGGGTAACACGATCCTGAGTTATTCCAACGGTGAGTTATTTCTCGTGTAAGACGGATGCAAGATGTAGGTAGTACGCGTATGGGAACAGCAAAAGGAACAGCGGCCGCGCAACGAGATTATCGTTCCTCGTCTCTCGCGTTTCCTACCTTCTCCCTGTCCCCCCCCCTTTCCCCCCTCCCACCCTATCGTCATCCTAAAACCCTTCTTCTTGGCGAAGCAGGGCTGGACTTTCATCTCGTACAAAATCATCTACGCGCACGTTTTTATTCTTCCTGCTTTCGTGGTTCGTGGCACGTTTCGTGCCTCGAGATCGTTCCTTTCGAAATTTGGGACTACGTGGACGATATCCTTCCGGGATATTTGAGCTTTATTTATCCCGGACAACGCTTCGAGGTCTCACGAGTCTCCCCGTAAGTGGTTTTTCGCGCTGTTGCTGGAAAAAAAAAATAAAATGGCCAAAATGTAAATAAATTCAATACTCACGTGCTTTGCAAGGGCGTCACGCAGGCATAATCCTATAATAAATATGAGAAGCACCGACGACCTGAAACAAAAGCAACAGTCTCCTTTACAATCTCGTTTCACCGTCTGAATCGAAATTTTAATTGATACGTTTCTTCAAGAGGAGCGAATAAAATCTCAAAAGCAATTTCATTTTATTATCTGAATTAACATTTTAATCGGCTCGCCACGATCAACGTAAGAATAATCGGCACGCTCGTGGAATAAATTCCCAACTCACTTCGCAACATTCGCAGCATCCCTTTATTAAAATAACTCGAGACGAATAATAAACACGTGTCTCTGCGTCACGATCTATTCCAGCGTCGGCTCTCTCCCCGCGATTCACGCATTCACTCGTGCGAATCAATCAGCCGGCCATCCAACAAGTAACACCATCAATTAAACCAGCCAAGAAACCGCAGTCTAATTACAAGCCGCGGCGTCGTTTTCCACGATAAATCAAAGGCAACGGGACCGTAGCACGCGAGGCAAACGCACGAGGAAACTGGTCACCACGTCGCGCCGAGCCGCGCCGCGCCGGCAGCATTGACCCAGACTTTGATTCTTGCGTGAACGCGCTTGGCACGAGTTTCACTTCGCCGCGAACTTGTCCCGCAAGTCGTTACGTCAGCCTCGGTTAGACAGTTACGTGTGTCATTACGTGCGAAACGAGTTCTCTGTTTTTTTTGAGAGAGATATTATCGACGTAACACTGCCGAGAAAAAAGGAGAGACGATTCTAGGAAGATTTTCTCGATTCAAGGATTTGCAATGACTCGACAGTGCGATGAACCAATGATTCCCAATCACTTTTTCTCTTTTTGGCCATGCCTCTGCCCTGTGACAGCGTAGTTCTTATTATTCAAGAAGTGAAGTTTTGATTTTTTGAGGAAGCCTAAAAGGCCATTAACTTCAAGGTCTAAACAAGCTTCCAAAAGAACAAGAACCATTTACGAAAGAAAAAAATTAGAAAGTTTATTTTCGTTCAAAGAAATGCAGAAAAAAATCACTCGAATTGCCCTCTAAACTATTTTCAGAATATTTTAATATTCTGTACAGTGACTGTAGAAAATTATATCGCGATTGAAGAGTAAATAGAATAAAAGCAATCAAATTAAAATTATATAAAGAAACACGCACCTAATTCGAAGAAAAGGGGAAAAAAAGTTTTCACTACTATCAAAATTTTATCAAATTAGAAATTTGATATGACTCGATCGTTACTGATTCTTTTACTTTGCGAATTAAATCTTTTTGTTGTATAAAATTACTAATATCTCTCGTCGTAATATCTACACAGGATCTTCGTAGAATGTTTTATCGGATATCGAGAAATACGTGCACCTCAGGTTCAAGAAGTTCTAGTATGCGAGTCTCATACCTACAATATATTCCGGATATCCCTGAAATGGCTACGGAATTTTGGAATATGTCTCAAGACTCAATTTCGGATGTTAGTTTTAAGGTGTTGTGATCCATCCTAGATTCACCGTTATAATAGTCAATTTCGTCTAACGTGAATTGTAGATTAATACTGTCCGACTAATTAAGTTCTGGCATTAAAGTCTACAGTAGCTTTACCAATAAATGAATTACGTGCCTAAATTAAATAAAAATTCTTAAGATCAATCAAACACGTACAGTTGAAATTATATTTCTAACGTCAGACATATGGCTCCAATCTCAAAGAGATTGTTAAAATTTCTTAAATTATCAAATTACCATAACTATTATTAAAAATGTTTACAAAATTTCTATAACAATTTTTCACCTCAAGATGATACCTTTAATATTAAAAGATTTGAAAGTCGGCTACTATTTTAGAAATTCTTTTATTATACAATAAAAAAGAAATTTGTAAAATTGCTCTTGTCGCCTTAGGTATATTTAAAATTGAAAATCTAATCCAAAACATGCTAGAAGGGAAACACGTGAGATACACGTAAGTAAACGGAAGTCACGTAGCTCCGTAGAATTTAGTTAATAAAGACTGATAAGATAGTGGTCGACGTCTTCACCTGACAAACTGGAAACTCAAGATGTTTCTCGGCGCGTTGCGAAACTGGAACGAGCCACTGGGTAATCGAGCCGACGCGACGCTCTCCCCCATGGACGAAAGGATTTATAGAGAGAACCAGGCGAACCATCACGCGGCTCGTTGTTCCCCTGCTGTCGCGGCCGACACGATAAATTATTTTACAGCAGCCGCGAGGCTCGCTCTCCCGCTATTTACATGCGAGCACGCGCCGCGAGCCTGCCGATAAATCTACCAACTGTCTGAAATTGTATGAATTAGTCGCGACGCTCGCTACTTTCTCACCTGATTTATCGGTACCATCCGCCTGTGAATCGGGAGCTCTCGCGAAATACCGCCGCTCTTTGCTCGCGATTTTGTGCTATTATTCGCGATGGAGGTGGCTTCTGGGAGTTGTCACAACGAAATTGGAAAATTTTTTTGGAAAATCAGCTAAAGAGAGAACGGATCTTTCATCTTTCCTCTTGTGGTACAAAATGTCCAATTTCTAATTACGAAATCACAAAATGTTAAGATACTAATATTCATATGAATCTTTTATCCAGATTTTGATTAAATTCAGAAAACGCCAAAAATCATATCATAGCAGTAGAATTAATGAATCAAATTTTTTTCTGTTAAATGCAGAACCTAAACCAAGATTACAAAATTACAGAATCTAAATACACAGTGTTGCAGAACCCAAGTACAGTGAATTTTCAAAGAAATGTCCCACATTTAAAAAAATATTAGATGTGCAAAAAGAGATATATTAAATTATATCATGCAAAGTTTATATATAATACGGAATTTTTAGAAAGTGAAAAGACAATTGAAGCAATAATTCGAAACAGTACAATCTATACAATTAAGAAACCAAATTATCTCCTATTCCCTATTTCTAATCTAATCCAAGATTCTCTATGTACAGTATTTTCAAAAGAAACTTTACACGTTCATAACAAAGTTTGTACATAATAGTGAACTTTTAGGAAATTTCTAGCGGGCAGTAATTAAAAGAATACAATCTACACAATTAATTTCCAAGTTGCCTTCTATTTCAACCTAACCCAAGATTCTCCAAGTGCAGAATTTTCAAAGGAACATTTCACATTAAAAAAAAAGCATATATATATATATATATACAAACTCGTTAAATGAAACAAAACATCCAATCTGCAAGCTAAAACGATTCGCCATCAAACACAATCGATCGGACAACACCTTCATCGTACCCGCCGTCACGAGAGATATTCGATCGCAACAAAACGATTCGATCACACGCGTTGAAACGTGCGCATCGATGCAAATGCAAAAACGAAAAAGAGAGAGAGAGAGAGAGAGAGAGAGAGAGAGAGAGAGAGAGAGAGAGAGAGAGAGAGAGACAGCGACGGTATCTTGAATCGAACCGGTGCAACCGACTGCTCGTCCATCGTCGAAATGTGAATGAACGTGTTTTTCTGCTGCATCGGCGCGCGTCGTTGCGTAAGTTCTTTGAGTGGGCGTCATTCATTGGTTTGGAACGTTGCCCGGGAACGTTCCGCGCGGACCGTTTCTGCTGTTCGAATCGTTGAATCGAATCGCGGTGAAACGAAGGTGGAAAGAAAAGAGAAAGAGAGAAAGGGGAGAGGGTATTCTCTGCTATCGGTCGGAGGACATAATATTCCCGTGAAAAATGGCGCACCGGTGCTATTGGCCGAGAACAATGCGAGATGTCGTGCCGTTTTAATGGCCGGCGAACAACAATCTTGCCCCGGTCGGATATAAATTGCTAAAAAGCTCGCCGCCCGTAAATTTCGCCACGTAGCCTTCCTTCGCGAATTATTTCCGGCATTTCTACCCTCTGCCGCCCCGTTTGGCTGGTTTCGAGGGCGGATTTATCGTGCGGTGAATTATGTCAGAAAGGGGGGAAGGGGAAAAAAGAAAAAAAAGAAAGAATGTTTGTTTCGGTTAACGTCATGCTTTTCTTCGAGATTGGAAATTTGAATTTTGATTGGGGCATATCTCTTCCGCGATGGAACGAGATCGATCATGGTCGAAAAACATCGGAACGTATTTTCATTTATCGTTCCGATATTTCGTCATGGCGTACGATTTACGAGAACTTCGATTCTCGTCGTTTATAACCAACAGAGTTGCAACTTCATTCTCTAGTTTTATAACTTGTAAAGGTATGATCAATTTCTTACAGCAACAAACGCAGAAAATTATTTTGTTGAAACTAGCAGTAAATTGGCTTGCATTCGTAGAATTCCCAGCTGTCTTAGCGAAGATACTAAATTACACTTACTCGAATTCTCCTAGAATATTCTAAAATTTACTCGGACATTTCACATTTCCATATTGAAAATTCTTTCGGGTGACCGCCGAATTTACGATCCTTCTCAACAATTTCCCGTTCGTATTGCGCTGCAACTGTGCGCGTACGCGCGCCGATATCGAATGAAACGAGCGAGCACCACTCTCGGTTCACAATTACTCTGTAACCGGTCGCAGGTGGCGAGGTACTTGCAGCAGACGGTTGCATAAAACGTGACAGCGAGCCACGGGGATCTACGGGGGCGTTAATTGGAACGCAGTTTTCCAAAGGTCTAATTGCGTCCGCGAGAAATCCTCGTGTGATGTTTCTGTTGGCGCGTGAAGCACCACGAGGGCGCGCAACCGGTTTCACTGGAAACGCGAGACTGGTTTATCGTACCTCGGCCTTGACGTCTGGATGGCTTCGTGGGTGCGGTAATTGGTCCCCGGTGAATAATTTTAATTGGGTGGCGAACGTGAAATTGATGTTAAGTGGAATTAAATGGCTCCGCCGGGAGAGACGGCACGATTCTAACGCGCACGATTGCGAAATCTAACCGCGTCTCGCGGCGCCGACCATCGCGTACATTAATATTTTCCACGTTCCGTGCTTTCGTACAGGCTCTTGTTACACAGAGTTTTATGGTCGACTAAGAACCGAAGAGGTGGGAACAACTTTTCTTCAATTTCCGTGAGATGTAATAATCGTAGAAATTGAGGTTCAAGTAG